AAAACAAAGGTCGATCAAATGGACCAATACGGCAATGCTACGATGATCCATTTGGCAAAGTAAATCCATTGGGTATCCTTGTTGGTTTCCTTATGCAGTATTTTTGTGTGGTGCTTTTTCTATGTCTTAACAAAAGAGGAACAAAGGCGTTGAAGTTCACCTAGGATGGTTTGTTTTAAGCATATACAGAGTAGGTGTCCTCCTAAAGTATAAATTAGAAAGAGACGGTATGACCTCTCTCATGACCTTAGGATGTGTGTGTTTGCCAGAACACTCTGGCACACAGAGTCTTTGCAGACTGCTAAGGATCAAACCTCTATCAATCTACAAACAAATATATACTTATGAGTATAAATCATTATAAATTTCTAAGCATAAATGACAATAATAAAACATAAACCCAACAACAACAACATTGCCCAAAACCTCCAAACAGGTGGCCCTCTGTTTACATTAACCTGAAAATAGGCAACCAGGTTTTAGAGAAGAAACTAAAAGGTCAGATGCTTCAGCCCAACTGTGTTCACAGCACGATTAAGATAAACTAGGATCTGAATTTGCTGGTTCTTAGTTGTGGCGAATTCAATAAGATGAGACAGATTCCTATGCCTGCTACAGGAGACAGAAGATAAATAGTTTAGATTGATAGTTTCTTTAAACCACAGCACTTAAATTATCTTAAAGAAAAATCTAAAAAAAAATTCCTGTGTTTTGTTCAGATTTGGTGACTGTCTCCACTTCGCTACAGGTAAGGTTTGAGTTTCATTAATTTGCCACAAAAAGACAAAAGCGCAACAAATCAAGTTTAAAATTTAATATGATTGTTTGTTTGTTTGTTTTTTACTTTGTGTAGTTCTATTAGAGCAGGGGTGGGGAGCTCCAAGCCTTAAGGACTGGTGTCTTGCAGATTTTAGATATCAGTCTGCGTCACCACACCTGAATCAAATGATTAGTTCATTACCAGGCCTCTGGAGAACTTCAAGACATGTTGAGGACATAATTTAACCATTTAAATCAGCTGTGTTGGATCAAGGACACATCTAAAACCTGCAGGACACCGGCCCTCGGGGGCTAGAGTCCCCCGCCTCTGTATTAGAGTAATGTTTTGAAATACTTTGCTCAAAATAATTGAAAATCTCACATGTTAGCACAATTCACATTTGGTTTACATTGGTTTACATGTGGTGTACATGATGAATAGTAAAAACATCGCTCTTGTCAGATTTTAGCAGAGGCTTTCACATTAATTAGTCATGTGTTAGACGGGATATCCCAAAAACCCTAAACAAAGAAAATCCACCAGGGAGGTGGGCCTGTTCAGGAAAAACTCCAACTTCTCCATCTGTTAGAAATCAGTTTGTGTGAAACTGATGCTTCCACTACACCAGATTACATATAAAGCTTTTCTAAAAATTTTACAGATTTCAAGTGAAATAATACAAAATATTGTGTAAATTAAACAGTGGTAACATTTAAAAATATAAAAAATAAGAGATTATGTCTCTTGGAAGGCCTGGGAAACCACTGATGGTCCCCCAGATGAGCAGGAGGATGAGCACCTTTATCTTAAATCATTTTTACTTTTATTAGATGTGCTTAATCGGTCACTTACAGTGCCATCTCACGCGTTCAACCTATTCCTGCATGTGTTTATCTCAGGTACTTCAGCCTCCAGCAGGCTGACAATGTGCAAATTAAGTTAAATGGTGATTCTAAGCTGTGTTAGCTCTGGTCGGTGCTATTTCAGGCTGCATTGTTTAATAGCCTGAAGCAGGCTGGGATAACCTCCCCTGCCCGTGAACTTTGGATAGTGTGACAACCCACGCTGGTATTCTAAATACCACCTTTTTAGATGGTAACTGTAACAGAATGCAGTTACTCATATTTTGCATTTTAAATACATAACAGCGGTACACGTATTACGCTACTCCCCAACACTGTGTGACAACTCACTTTCTGTCGGTCTGTTTGTCTGTTTTGTGCCTCGTTTGCAGGCGCTGGAGGAGAAGTAGAGTAGCTCATTTCCAATTAGTGACAATGGCCAGTGCTTTACCCTGTGTTGTTTTTTTTGCGTTTGGTTTGGGTTAGCACTAAACAATGTTGTGTACGCCATTATTCCACCGATGAACTTATCGACACCACTGTTTGTACTGACCACAAAATCCATGGTTTGTGTAAGGCCTCTGTTTTATTTCTTCATTTAAAATAAATAGCATTTTGAATGATACCATGCAGCCTAGTTTGTGACAATAGGCAGAAAAAGGATGTTTATGTGGGTCAGATGAGCAAAAAGGTTGAAAGCAGTTTGAACCAGACAAGCTGTACCCTTTTTTTTTTGTCTCACCACATTTTAGTGGTTAAAGCAGAGAGTGAAAGAAGAGAAAAGCACCTCCATCTCATTTCCTCTTAGCTAAACTGATGGCACAGTGGAAACAAAACATGTAGTGTATTTGTTTTTAGTTTAAACTTTAGGATAAATATTAAATCAAGGATTATCATGACAAGTGTAGTTTGGGTCTTTCTGGCTCGTAAAACAAAGAAGCATTTCTCATTTCCTCACTTTATAGACTTATGAAAAAAGAAACATTTCTTTAAAGCTATAGGAGGGCAAAGCCAAACCACAGTGTCTCACAGAATCAGGAAGGAGGCGTGTCTAACGAGATGTGACTATGACGTTTGACTATGATCGAAGTGTCAATCACCAAGAGAAACAATGGAACCAATGACTCTGCTGTGGCTGCTCTGTAAGTACAGCATTTTGAATTAATACTACACTAGCTGACATCTGCCCTGCAGTTCTGTTGTCTCATTTAGGGTACCAGTTATGATAATTGAGTTTGTTTCCAATAACATTTACTTTCATTTAAAACGTTCTGGTACCCCTATAGCATTTTTCAGCTCCCAGGATATTCTTTAACAAAGTCTAAAAATTTTAGAATTTGGGAAACAACAGTCTTAAAATATATATATATATTAAGGTCCCCACAAACTCTAACCAAGTTACATTTTAGCTTCATTTTATGTTTTTAATATAAAATGTATTTTTAAATTGATATTTTTAAAAAGTATGTGATTAAAACACTTCTGTCTGCTAAGATTGCTTTTACAGTGTTTCCAGTTTTGAAAGACGACTTTCAAAACACATTTGCTGTGAAATAGAAATAGGTTCATGATGAGCTGTCAAAGGCTGAACAAACAACTTTTTCACTGCATTTGATCTGCGATACTGTGGAGTTAAAAGATTTAAAAGTGGAGTTTAGTGACTTTAAACATGCTTTTAATGCTTTGTGCATGCCTTGCGGAGTCTAAAACCTGGAACTAACCCGAGTAATCATTTCTCTTTAGTTGTGACCTTATTACTGACCTGCACAACAAACCAAGGTCAGTAAACTTCTGTCAAAGTTGGAAACTCAGCAGCTCTAATAAAAGAAAAGTCTGTAAAGTTCTTCAGGAGAGCTCATAGAGGCTTTTCATTGGTGGGATAGATCAGAATTGTATCTTGCCTGCAGTTAACTCCATATGAAAATGCAATATTTTTAGATCTTTGTCACCTTTTCATTTTTCAAAGTAATGGGATCCAGAAAAGAGAAGTAGTGACATAAATGGAAGAATTTGTGGGCATATTTCAAGTGCAATATACTGCAGGCCAGCAGACACACGTTACTGTTGCATGTTGTGGTGAAACTCAGAGACATCGCATCCTGTCCCACTTTCATGTCACACTCAGACAGTACAACTTTAACCCCTTAACATCCAGAGCCTTTTTTGCAAAAAAGATGATATTCTTGGAAGGACTGTGTTTGTTTTGATGCACCCAGATTTGCATATTAACAATCATGAAACTGAGCTCTTTCTTAGGCAGTGGTGCAAGTTTCAGCTATTATGCAAATATGCTTATAATAATGGATTGATTCATTCACTGTCACACACTGGTGGAGGCAGCTACAGCTGTAGCCACAGCTGCCCTGGGGCAGACTAACAGAAGCCAGGCTGCCATATCGGTCCCTCTGGCCAACACCAGTAGGCGGTAGGGTAAAGTGTCTTGCCCAAGGACACAACGAAGACTGTCTGAGCCGGGACTCGAACCGGCAACCTTCTGGTTACAAGACGAACTGCCAACTCTTTGAGCCACAATCACCCCAAATATAATATATATAAGACTGGGTTAACCAGCTGACTCAGCTTTCACTGAAGAATTTACTGTTTTATCATATGATGACATGTTTCTTCCACTGAAAACACTACATTCACATTAGCAGAATACAGTCCCTGACATCTTGATTGTTGTTTTGTCACAGTGAAAGCAGCATGTGCTTGACAAGCACATAACTGTTAACTTAACTGTTAAGTTCATTTTAGTACATTTTAAAAAATAAACATAGTTACTACATATAAACACGTGTATGATACAATCCATGGTCGCATATAACACAGTAACATGACAACATGTACCATTGGCGTATAATTTGAAATTTAGTCAGTATTTTATTTTATTTTATTTTTTTGGATAACTTTCTGCATCTTCTTCCAGCAGCTAGATCGTAAAGACGGAGAAATGGACTTATATTGATTTGGCAGGCAGAGAAATTGAGCTGGAAAGTTGGAAATTGTGCAGCGGAGTAGAAAGGCACCCGAGTGCATTGAGGCAACTGCTGTTGTGTTTTGAAGCTATATAAATGAAACTTAATTAAGTTAAACCAGGCAGTGGAGACAGAGCTCCAATGCTCTCCCATTAAATCAACTGAGTGGGAATGTCAGATGTTCCAAAAAGCAGCAAACCAATCTGGAAAACCATAAACAAAATGTCAATCCAAGTCAATAACTGACAATTTAGGAACTGTACTACCCACAAACTGCTAGGGGTCACAAGCTGCCATACAGAGAAGCAGCCAATCACAGTGGTTAGTGGTTTTAAAAGGTTTGCAATTGTTAAGAAATATGGAGGATGTATTCTCCTCTCCCTCACAGCTCATCTGACTGTGAGCCCCAACCGATCTCAGTTCTTCGAAGGTGACTTTGTATCTCTGAGCTGTGAGGAGGACGACAGCTCTACGAGATGGAATCTGACAAGAAACACAAGAAAACAACAGAGGACTCAGTGTGGAGTTCGGTGGGGAATAGCAGCTCATTCCTCCTGTAACATCAGTTATGTCTTTCCACTGGACAGTGGAGTTTACTGGTGTGAGTCCAGAGAGAGTCCCATCAGTAACATGGTTAACCTGACAGTCACTGGTAAGCTGAGTGTGTGGAGTTAGTGTTGATGAAGCTGTGTGTAAATGGATGAAATGCTGTAGTTTGTCTCTGTGTTGAGGTGGATCAGTGATCCTGCAGAGTCCTGTCCTCCCTGTGATGGAGGGAGATGACGTCACTCTGCTCTGTAAAACAAAGACCACTCCCTCCAACCTCCCAGCTGCTTTCTTCAAAGATGGCGTCTTCATTGGGAAAGAGCCTACAGGTCACATGACCATCCAGCATGTTTCCAGGTCTGATGAAGGCCTCTACAAGTGTGACATCAGCGGTCATGGAGAGTCTCCATCCAGCTGGATCACTGTCACAGGTGAGGAGTTTCACTCTGATTTCACCATTTATTTTATTTATGGATTCACCTGAACAGATGGGATTCTCTCTATAGGTAGACCTCCAATCAAAGCTCCACTTCCTGCCTTAAAACCACCCATCTCTTCCTTGAGCACAGTTTCAGTCCAGCCCACATCTGGAGCTCCGCCCTCTGCCTCAACACACCCACTGACCCTGCTCCGCTACCTGCTGGTGTTCTGTCCATACTTCATCTCCACTCTCCTCATGGTGTCTTTATATTTATCCAGAGCCAATAATCAATAATCAATGACCTAATAACCTACTGATTGGCAGCTGTTAACTGTTTAATTCTTTAAATAGAATAAATCAAACTTTCATTTCTGGACTCCATGAAATGCCTCCTGTGACAGTGATGATCCCGCCTACACAGGCTTAACAGGGACTGGACCAGGAGATTGATGATGTCACAAAGACAGAGGCAGTGTCATGCCTCATTTTTACTCTGTTGCTTTTGTTGAAATACTTCCAGAGCAGGTTCACACAAGTTTGACTGTAGATTTATTTATTCTCACTGGTCTGCTCATCTCTGATTAACACAGTAGAAGCATGGAAGTCACAAAGTACTATATGACCTATTAACACACTCTTAGTATCAAACTCACCCTGAATAATGATGCAGATACTCTTTAAGGTTTGCTTTAATGTTTAAGTGCTGTGCTATCTGATTGGTCTTCTGATCTGGAAAGGCTCATGCATCTTTGTTTGATTTTAATTGGACTATTGTTACACACTGTATACCAGAGTTACTCATTAATCCTTTATCCATTTGCATTGACTGAGAGATCACATTAGTACAGTGTCAGCAGGCTTGCACTAGCTCCCTGTGAATGATAGAATTCAGTATTAAGACGCTGTTTGTGTTTAAAGCCTAAATGGTGTCAAACCTGCATATGTGGTAGAAATAGTGTGTCTGTATTTTCCCTCCAGATCATTAAGGCCTTCTTAATCACTTGTGATCATCCTGCAGTTTAAGCTCATTTCAAAAGTC